AAAGTAGCCTATATAAAACTGCAAGATAATCATTCATCTATCGGTACTTTTTACTTAAGTACATGAAAAATCAAGCACTTTTGTACTTTCACTCGAGTAAAATTGAAAACTGAGAACTTTTACTGGAGTAATATTTTATTAAATACGGATCTGTACTTTACTCAAGTACTTGATTTGTGTACTTCATCCACCACTGTCCAGCTCTATTCATTTTCTCTCAAGTTCTACAGTAAAATCTGGTGAAAGCCGACACAGACAGAGTCTTGGGCGTTCTGAAGAAGTATGAATAGAAATGTTCATGTTAACTCTAAAGGAATTTGAATAATGCATGTAGAAAAAAAGTAGGCAATAATCAGTGTTATAATGTATTTTAACAGACTTTATTTTTGTGGAAAACTCCACAGTATAATATTCGAACATACTATAACTGTATCTTTTATAATGTCCAATATTAATATGCTTGTTAATAGTTTTTTCCTGTTTTGGGGCACATTTAATTAATAACCGCTGAAATATAGGTCTTCGCCAGCGTCGTGTCTCTGTACCGTAACGCCGCAGACAGACGCGCAGCAGAATCCGGGTTATTTAGGGCTCGACTACTTGATCCTCACATCAAAATATCGATTCTAAAGTGCATTTTTAACCATTAATTTTATTTATTTATCAAGAAATTCGGTGCATAAAATAAGCTTCTAAGTGGAAAAACAGACTATATTAGCGAATACTTGTGTTGTATAGAAGCATTTCTCCCGCTCATCGGAACACAGCAGATGCTGAGACAGAAGCAATCGATCACAGACAGCGGCTCACGCCTGGCTCTAAAATAGAGAAATGTTGATCAATTATGAACTCTTGGTTACAGAGAGATATAACAATTTTCGGGAGAAATCTGAACATTATATTGCTATCGAAAATTTAAAGTCTTTCTAGATTAATTTACCCAGGTTTTTCATTGCCAATTTCTCCCAGAAAGATAAAAGCAATTAATAAACTTGATTTTGATTTCATATAAGGAAACCTGAGATAATAAGAGAATATGAGGATGGTGGGTTAAAGGCAATAGATTGTGATATTATGAATGGAGTACTTCAACTTCAATGGCTTCAGGCTTTTATTAGAAATGAGCATTCATACTGGTTTGCAATTCCATCCAGTTTGTTTAAAACATTTGGCGGTATAACGTTTTTGTTACAATGTGACTTTGAGAAATCTGAAACTGTCGGATTCTCATAAAGTCCTCTTGTACTGGAAAAAGCTGTTTAAACATAACTTCAGTCCTCATAATGTTTCCTTGTGGAATAATAGTGTATTATGTTATTCTGGGAGGACTGGTGGCAGAGAGGTATTTGGTCAGTGCTGCACATTATGGATAAGAATGGCTGCTTTTTTAATTATTATGATTTCTGCACT